TTTACTTAAGTACCAATAGATACTTAACGCTATTACAGCATATAATTATCATATTAAACGGTGATTAGTTTACATAATTAATAATTCATAAGCGTATTGAGGTGAATATTGGTTGAAGCAGATGTACGTGTTACGTGATTTATTCAATTGATATAAGAACCGAAATTATAGGAAATGAGATTTATGAATTGTTGTTTCGTAATATCTGTAGGCAATAATTATTTTCGTGAACCAGTGATTGGCTATATGATTCATCTGTAATAAATCCATTTGGTACATCGGATATTGCGTCTGTCTTCACGCGTTTGCAAGAGGTATAATTAAATATTAATTAATTTTAAATTTCTCGGAAGTACCGCACAAAATATCGGATAAGCATCATGTTCTGATAGTTAATTTACGCGCGATTATAATTAATCGCATTTTTGTAAATAATATATGAGTGCAACTGTGCAACAAGTATTAACAGCATGAAAAGGGGAAGAGATTTAAAAGATTTTGAACGCGACAGCAAAAAAGATGTGAATAACACACACACACATATACATATAATATATATAATTATTATTACTAATATTTATTCTTTTAAAGTATGTTCCTGTAATAATAATATGCTCAAATTTAAGAAGAATAAGGAAGTATGTATAATAAAGTATTAAAATGCACCTTAAAAAGTTTGCAAAAGACTTTCTTATATATTTATGATTTATTTCGTGTCAACCTATTTATATATTATTACTAAATTATTTTAAAAAGTTTACGTTTTGAAATGCTCGAAAGTAAAAATACGTGTTATAATTACAATAAATGTCAGCTATTTTGTATTGGCATGGTGTATGGTGGTGTACTGAATAAATGAGTCTATAAAAAAATTATTAAAATTTGCTATAATTTAATAGCGGAGATATTAAAAAGGATCATTATATACCTATAAGGGGTATGATACCTTTTCTTCTTTACGAAACGGCAAGGTGTGTAGTAGATCGACCTCATTCGATGTCAGCGTGGTGAATGGTGCGCGGCGACCTTGTGCCACGCAATGGCATACCATACGCCCCAACACAAACATCATAGCTCACTAAGACCGCAAGCTAATCGATGTAATTCTCTGAAATCAAGAGACGCGGTAGCTAGTCGCGCTAGTAATATTTTTCGTACATCCTATCATAAGCAAAATGCTACATATGTTTGATTTTTTCGATAAGAGTCGTAGTTATTAGAACCGAAGTATTATATATAATAATTATTATCGAATTACATAGTGTTCGCAACAAGATGAATAATACAAATAGTATAGCCATGCAGACGTTTCGATTCTTAATTCGAGTCCTCTTTAATGAAACGAGATAAAAAATAAATAGACAGTTCCGATCCCTCCTCCATTACAGTCAATTCGATACATATAATAATGCTTATATGTGTTTTTATGGAACTTTCTATAATATTAAAAAATTAAATTTCATACACAATTTTTTACTCTTATTTAACACAATTTAAAAAATCATAACTTTTGCAGAAAAAAACAGGGTTAAATAATATAAAAATTCTTAATATGAAAATGTTCTTTAAACTCAAATACCTTTCACTTAAAATTATTTTTTACCTCACAATATATCAGCGTTAAATTATGATATGATAAATAAAGACAGAGACGATTACAGCTGCATTTACTTCAAAAGTTATAATCTATTCTGGAACTATAAAGCATCTGGTAATAGGTCTAAGTGGATTACACAGAGCACAGTCAAACACAAGTAGCGCAAATAGTTTGTAGTCAGGCAGTAGTAATATCTCGTACATGGTCAACTTACAATTAGGGCACGAGTGTCTAAACCGCTTTCCTCAAATATGAGACAGAACGCGGAAAATACAATAGTACAATTGATATAAATTGTATGTTATTGACAATATACATAAATATAATCTACATTTGTATTATTATACAATAAATAATAATATTATACAAATTAACGAAAGTAAAATTTATAATAATAATGTCTGTTAGTTTAATGCAAGAAATCCATACAAATGCCATGGGCTCACTTTAAAGAATACAATTAAATTAACTAAGCATTGGCTTTAAATTATTATATACAACAATGTAATTATTATAATATATATGTAATATGGTAAATAACATTCTAAAAATAATATAATGCTGTTTTATCAATTAATGCTGTCAAAAAGTAATTTTTAATTTAATATTTATTAATATAAGTATTCTGCACAAGCTTTAAGAAATATAAATTTTGTCTAGATGTAAAGTCTAATAAAAAACAAAATGTTGCTAGGAGTTATTAAAACTCTTAGCATGTAAATTAGTCTTTTAAAAATTTCCATTTCTTTTTATCGCAAAAGCTATATAGCGCGATATATCAATGTCTACCGTACACTTATAAACTATTCACGATATTACCAGGGAAACGACAAACGGTACAATTTCATATCCTGTAGTACCAAGCGATCGCAAACGCGATATCAAAGTAGCGGAATAGTAATTGAACGATGCCAGATACACGATCTGATCTTGCTGGATCTCTTTTGTCATAACGCGGACCAACACATGTATGAATCGGTCGCACGCGCGTTTTACTGCTCCCGATGTAAACGACGTCAGTCGTAATCCCAGATGGCTGCGCGAGTGCTCGGCACTGCTCGGGATATTACCTGCGCTGTCCGTAACACCCGTGTAATTGCGTTACGGGAGTTTTCATTTCGTGTTGCATACCCGGCTATAACATTTTCTTTCGTTCCGCGTAATCGGTTGCGCACGGTTTGCGGTTATTAAAGAGAAACTTACAGAACTCTATATATATATATATATATATATACACACACTTCACCCAAAAGATTTCAATTATTATTGTAAATCTTTAATTATTATATTTTAATGATTACTTTTAATTTACAAAATTTAGGTCGTTGATAGTTGTTTGATAATTGTTTGACATTGAAAAATATCATAAAGATATTAAATATCGTATCTACAAAACTGCATAACATATTTATAATAATTAAACCTTTTTTTACTCATATATACCTTGTGCTTTTGTATTTCGGTTGCTATTTAAAAAATAAAAGTCAATTGATGTGATAAGGTAAGTACATACGGTAATGAAACTGGAAACATTGATCAAGAAATATGGCTAGATAAAAATATATCTTTATCATGAATTTTATTTTTTAACTTAATTAAAAATTGTAATTTTGCAAAACATTTGCAATATACCAAAATATTATCTGATACTTCAGTTTTTTATGCAAATTATTATAATACATAATATTTTAAATAACTATTTATTGTAGGCTGGAATTAGTTAATGTCTGTGTTATACAAATTAAAAAACAGATAATAGACAATGTGGTTCGAAAAAAATAAAATTAAACCTAAAAACAATACTTTTATGAGACAATGGATGACAAAAGATTCGGAGAAATCATCGCGCTTGAAGATTATATCAAAATATTTAAAATTGTATTATGAATACTCCACTATAAACAGTTTAAAATACTTTACTGATTCTCAAAGACCTTGGTTTGAAAGGTAACTTCAATTATATTTATTTATAGTATAATTATATGTGCATAAATGGATATAGGATTATATAGGAATTTCTAAACATACGTATATACATAAGTATAAATATAGCAAAAGACATGCTGCTTTAGATTTAGTTTTTTCGATACAAATATGGCTTTTTTAATTCTTCTCAGTTAACAATAAAATTTAATTTAGTATATATTATATATTCAACATTATATATTCAACATTTTAATATACAAAACAATAAAATAAATGAAGAATTAATCCAGATACACGGCAAGTAGACATTACCGTCATCATTTTATCAAAATGACTATAAATGACGTTTGTTATACACACACTTGGGAAATAATATTTTTAAATTACTGTTTATAAGCTTAATTAATATATATAATGTTATGTAATTATGATTCAGTGCTAAAAACTCTGTACATTAATTTAAACATTATTATTTCTAAAATAATATTATTTACGTAATCATTTACGTAATATCATGAACGTATTTTGGAAAAAATAGTAATTTATGTTCGAAAATTTTAAAAGTTTTTTGTAAATTTGTGTATCTTTTTATACTTTCCTTAAAGGATATCAAGTCATATTATCCTATTTTATTTATATTTTTAAAACACTTTAAGTTATGCGAAACACTAATGTTTTATATTCAGAAGATCATAGTACAATGAAATTTTACTTGAGCAGAATTTATATGGATGTTGCTCACTCATTTAACAATGTAAACTCGCACTCAAAAGTCAACTCGTATAATATGATTATTAGGTCTTTATTAAAGCAATGATAAAAGCGATTTGTGCAGACTATGCACGTGAGACTTTACAAATGCATACATTATAGCTCGCGTATATAAGCGGAATGTATGATTATAGTTATACAGTTTAATGAGCGTATACTAATTTTTCGTGAGATTAACGGTGCCACGGTGAGTAGAGATTCTTGGATTCATAGTGGTCCGCACAAATCAAGTCATCCACAAATCACGATCCTTTTTCGCGGTACAAAACAAATGCGGTACCCTTTGCGAGAAAAGGAGAAAAAAGGAAAACGGAAAAAATGTAATTCCATAAAATGCTGGAGTCATGTCGCGATACGGCGTTGCCAGTTGATTTAATGTACCGTTACGTGTGACGTTAATAGCGCGGTGCGAATTTGGTAATGAGCGTGTCGTGGTACGAACAGGAACAAATTGTTGCTCGACATATCGCTTGACTTACAACACGTAAATCTATATTTTTGCTTTACGCCTAATATTGTTGCCTTTAAACTTTTAAAAGTTAAATAAAAAAAATATAAATAAAATAAATGAAAGTTTAAATAATTAAAATAAGCGAATAGGATAAATAAATAATTAAAATAAGCGAATAAAGTATAATTGCTTTAACCAAATAATGATATTTTTGCACTTGCCGTGTAATTAAATATATCTTTCAGAATTTTGTGGGTTATTATACATTACATAATTATATGTTTCCTGGTGTTTATCTTTTATATTTTCTATCATGAATTTATGACAACACCTTTAGTAACTTCCGCGGATACAAACGATCATAAAACGACTACTTTACCTTTTCCAGGTAAGATAAAGATTGAGATATTTCCTAAAATTTGTATGTGTGCATGTAATTTATTTATATGAAGATTTATTTGATTTTTTATAGTATAATGTAAAACAGTTTATTTTTATATCCGTTTTGTTGTTGAAAACTTTTATAATGTATTTCAAACTAGGATTATTCATCTCCTAACAGATAAACATTTTTCTGGAAGGAATCAATTGTAATAATTGCGAAAACCAAATTTATATATTTTTATATATTCGAGTAAAGGAGTTTATCCGAGGGAGTAACCACTTAATGTAATCGTGGGACAGGGTCCTCGAAATCATTATAAAATTCATATGAAATCTCTATGTATAATTCGATAATTACATAAAGATTCTTACTATTAAAAAGTTTTTATACTTTAAAATGATTTTCTCCTTATTTTATATTTTCTCTTTTCTCTTTTTTTTTTATTTTATTGCATTGCTTTAAAGCGTACGCCTCGATAATTTTTAGCAATCGCCATCTGCTCCGTTAACAGGATAAGTCGGCAATCCGCAACGGAACTGGCGACCAATATGTGAGTTCGATTTGTATATTAAATAAATACAAACTACATTCCCGTATTGTATATTAAATAAATGCATTTGCGAATGCACGAACGATGGCGAGATGCTGATACACACATAGATCCACTGCAGCATTTTGGATGCGTGTGTGTGGATGTGATTTTGTCGTTTTACATCAAACTGCACCAATTGCACAATCGGTCGGGATCGTTCAAAGTATCGCTGGCTGTTTAACGCGTATTATTCTACGAATTTTCTCTGCCCATGCTGAAGCGGTCACTACATTGACCAGCGTGAATTGCAAATATTCGCAAATATTGTCGGCTTGATCGCATAATCTACCTCTACGTTGATAATATAACGTTGATAATAAAGCAGCAGTGCAAATATTTGACAATGCCGTCGGTGTTAATATTATATTATGTATAATTATTAATTTGTCTAGGCATGAGAAAGTTACTTTCTAAAAGTAATCAGTTACTCTTTCAGTCAAGTCAAGAAAATAAGTTACCGTTACTTAAAGGTAACACAGTTACTTTTTCTGTCACTACAATATAATGATATCGTTACTGTCGTTGAGAGTTACAAAATAGAATTTGTACTAAAATTTATACTACCATCTTCGTAAAGATTGATAAGTATTAAAAAGTAACGAATCTATACTTAAGTAACAGTAATGTTATTTTTTATAAAAAGGAATGAAAATAATTATTTTTAGAAAATAACGTTGTCAATCCTGATAACAAAAGACAATTGATAAACGTATTCTAAATAAATATAGAGATAGAGAGTAGGTGTGATAAATGATACGTATCTATTGTTGATAGATACGAATCTATGATTGAGGATAGGTTTACTAACCATGGTGGTATTTCCATTGACCAGAGAATAGAGTTAACTCGCCGCAATTGATACGATATACGCGAAGCTTAATCGACCGGTCAACGCATTGAATCCTACTTCGCTTTTTACGACGTTCCGAGTCAACTGGCACGCCGATTATCATTAATTCGGTATCGCGCACTCTCTTCGGACGCAACTAGAACGGATCGATGCATCGCGCATTGATGAAGAGCGTAGAATCGGTGATTACGGCTCATTTAATTAGGGTGTTAATATCCTAAAATCGCGCGAACCGTTTTGTGCGACGCTACCTTATAGCCATTCTCGAACTTTTGGCTCTGTTAATGAAAGAGACGTTTCCGGAATTGTTGATTTGGAACAAGAATCTTCAAAGTTTCATAACTTCAGCACAAAGTTTTATCCCGCTTGCACGTCGATTAATGTCATAATTTTTTATTAAGCTAGTATTATAAAGCATATTTTTGATTATAGATTTCAATTAAACACTAGATGCATGTATATTCATAGAAATATATACTAATACTTTGGCACTTTCTACCATTTATATACACAATACTATATTATACATAATTTTACATATCTATATATGTATAAATTTCTACAATGTTATAAACTGGACTAATTTCGTGCTGTGAGTTGTTTCTTTTTTACTTTAATATTACATAATTAATTACGCATTTGAGGCTTCCACGGTTATCTTCTTCGATTATATTAGAGGGTTTACGGGTTATCACCGTGTCTTCTTTCATGGTCGACGCTAACGTTTCGTGAACCATGCTGTTCACTTCATCAGGGCGAAGGGCGCACTGATACAGTATCAGCCCCTCGCCCTGATGAAGTGAACAGCATGGTTCACGAAATGTTAGCGTCGACCACGAAAGAAGACACGGTGATAACCCGTAAACCCTCTAATATAATTACATAATTAAATGTGAAGAAGTTTAAGTAAAAAGCAAATTGATCGAAATTAAATAAGAACTTCAAAATTTTATTTTATTCATTTTCAAAATAAAAAGAGAAGAGAGAGAAATAATATAGAAACATTTTATAATAAAAGATTTGCATCTAAAGTTTTACATAAATTGTCGTACAATTCAACAATTTATTTTTACAAGTTAAATTGTAATTACGGTCTATAACGAAATATGTACTAAATTGTTTAGAAAATTATTTATGTTGATTTATGCGCTTAATTGGCAAATGCATATTTAAATATGTATGATGTTACTAAAGGTATTACTTGAAAATTATTATATAATATTATTTATTAATGATACGTAAAATGGAATTACGTGTAATGCACTAAAGTTTTAAAATTATGTACTTACATTAATATATAACAGACACAAATAGATTATCATGTACATACATAGAGACTAAAAAAATGCCCGATTTGAATTTTTCATATTTTCCTGGTTGTTTAAGAAAATTCTCTTTTAATTTGAATTAAATTAATTACACGCACAATAATACGTGTAATATAAGTTGATAATATTGAAAACAATAAGAAGAATCATTAGAGGAGAAGGTGGTATTATGGCATCCCAGTTATATTTTACACAATAACTTTGTTAATAATCAATATTTAAGTTAAAAACTTGACAATTACATTCGTTAAAATGTTATTGAATCGATTCTGAACTCAAAGTTACGAAATATTTATTACTTAGGATACTATTAATAAAAATGTGGCGACATTGCATAATGACTCAAAGAAAAAAATGGGTGGTAACGTGGCCTTCCATAAAAATAATCTTAAAATATTAGTTTTGTTTAGAAAACAGTATTTGGTTATAAAATTAACAAAAAAGTAAAAGTTTTAAAATGTATGCAAATGAATGTATATACATTCACATAACTTCTGCATATAAGTTGCTCAGTACTAAAAATCTAAGTACTAAAAATAGTGCACGTAATATAAACTATAGATTAACAGTAGAGCTACAATCGAACATATTAAATAATTATTTTGATATGAAAATCTCAAAAAAGAGATCGTGAGTAATCAATATCCACAGATGGCCACATTAGCAAAATGCTATGGTATTGTTTAAATTTGCATAACTAAAAATATATACAGTCAAATAAAATGTTAAATAGCAAATAACACACTCAAAAATACATAATAGTAAGTGCTGGTTATTGAGTATTGATAATATTAGCGTCATGGTGTAACGGCGAACTGTTGAACTAATAATTCCATAAGTAATTATTAGGATTCGCTATATAATAGCGGAGATATTAAGGGAAGCCACAATGTATACACTGGCCATAATACCACCTTCTCCTCTACTTTCTTTTGTAAGAGAAGCACAAGAAAATATATATCAGTTTTGAGCAATTAATTGCAATATTTTCAGTATACATGTAGTCCATTCTTACCTATCTAATAAAGATGTTGATGCTGTTTTTAGATATTATTATTAAAAATGAATACATAATCTACAATGTACATATACTAAAAAGATTTAATTGTGAAAGACAATGAAAGAAATTATTATATTGTATATAATAATTTTTTTTTTTTTCCCCGAGAATTATATACTTTACTAATTTTTTTTATTTATACCTATATGGAGAATTAAATCAATGAAAAAGTAATTATAATATAAAAATACATTATTAATATTTGCTAATCGAGCTATTGCTAGTTTTAAAAGCATTACGTTTGTGCGGTATATTGTCAATCAATTTGTCCATCACAGAATGAAAAATTAATTATCAACTTTGAACACATCACTTTTCTCATTACAGAGACCAGTTTGTCGAACTTTAGAATATGAACATTGTTTTAAAATATTTTCAGTATAATATCAGTATAATATATATACCATAATGTATCGTAAAAATATATAAAATTTATTGTATAGTTGAACAATATGGATGACAATTATGTTGTCAAAAGAAAATTGCACATCGTTTTTGTTCGCTACTGTGCTTTTAAGATAACCTTGAGAAATATATATCATGTATGATGGCTTTTATTGAAATATTTACGACATTTTTCTTAAAACCAGTTTTAAAGCAAATATCACGAACCAGACAGTTGATGAAATTCTCATCTTGATAATGCGGCTGGGCAATCTCTACATTTCTAATTTTGACACGGATAATCATGATGTGGAATTAGATAAACTTTTAACAACTTATCATAATGGGATTTACGATGTCACTGAAATAATGAAAGCTGTACGTATGCAAATTCAATCATCATCATGTTTCAAATATGTGATACACTAGAATTTTACTTACACACTTTTATTAGACTTTTCTTATATACGTATACGTTGATATACGTATAAAATCCTTTTAATTGTGCAATAATTAGAATAACTGTAATAGTAAACTGTTTAATTTTTATTGTTTAGTGTAATAATAAAAGTTTAAACTCTCAAGTTTGTTTAATTTTAAATGCAAATTTCTTTATAGTCTCATTACTACTATACTGATTTTTTGCGGACACTCCCTGCTTAAATTTATCTGTCTAACTTTCAATCCTTTGGTAATTCTAGCAAACAGAAATCATTTATGTAGGCACATTACTTTATTTTTTGCCGATGTAGCTGTTTTAAATATAAGGTTTCCTTAGAAGATCAATTAAAATATTATTTGCACGCGATACTTTGCGTGTCGACCGCCGTTGTTACAGCTCAGAAAATTGTAGCAATTTACGACATGTGTAGCGTATTTGCATTTTCCAGCTGACTCCGCAATGTTCGATGATGCTATCGAAATGTAAGCTGCATGGAAACTACAGCGATTGTTCGACACTTTTTAAGTTTCGCAAGACGCAGGACGGATACTGTTGCACTTTCAATTACGTGCGTGAAAGCGACGACATTTTCGAGTGAGTATCCCGTGTTTTCAAAACATATTTCAAGGAAGCATACAACATATACAGTAGTTAAATCACTTATTTGACTTATTTATCTATGTTCAGATAGTGCAGTGACATTTATATTTCAGAGTGTAAATGAAGCATATTTTCAAGCTATCATTATGATATAAAAATGTTCTATTATTTGTATAAAATTGTTATATTTATCATTGTTTTATTTTACTATATTTCATTATTATTTATTGTTTAACAATAAGAAATAAATATAGAGGAAAGTCCCCTATTATGAGATAAGCGCCTAATATGAGATAGCAGCGTTTCTGCTAAACTAATAAACGCTATCTATTGGTTCCACTATAAATTTGCTCTTGGATTGAAAACTATTTAGTAAAAAGTTCATTATTAGACCATGCCTATAGTTATTGTAAAACAAGATTTTAGAATT